CCCCCGAGCACTACCAGGGGTAACAAGGAACAACGGCCATAAGTTGACGGAGAGTAGATTCAGACTAGACATCAGGAGGCGCGACTTCACTGTCAGGGCGGCTAGGATCTGGAACCAACTTCCAAGGGAAGTGGTTCTGGCGCCGACCCTGGGGGTCTTCAAAAGGAGGCTAGACAGCCACCTAGCCAGAGTCATTTGACCCCAGCATCCCTTCCTGCCCATGGCAGGGGGTCAGACTTGATGATCTGCTTAGGTCCCTTCTGACCCGACCAACTATGAAACGATGAAAGGCCCCTAATATAAGTTTGGACTGTTACAAAGAATGACAGCAGGTCAAATTTTGCCTTTAGTGTCACTCATGTACCAGTCACAATATCGGTGGGACTGCAGCTGTGCAATGGAGGGGAAAAACTTGCAATTAACTTTCACTGAAGCTGCTCCAAATTTATGCCAATATGTAGGAAAGAACTGGCCCACGTGTTAGAAAATACAGAGGCAGATTATCAGAAAGACAGAGGTCCAGTTGTACGTTTAGACATGTGGCCTTGATAGCACACCTGTGGCATGCTCAAACAGGTATGTGAGGTCCCAGTGGGCAGTTGGATATCAAGATGGCCACTGCAGACAGTGTGTGTGTCAGTGCGGATGAGCAACTGTGGGCGCAGCTACACATGCACATTTACTGTGCAGTAAACAATATTACTGCGCAGTACAGTTGCGCATCTACATGTGCATGCCCATATTGCACAGTAAATATGGTGACTTATGCCAACTGGAGTGTGAATTTGATACCTGCATCATGCAGGAATCAAATTTATGCCCGATTAATTACTACGTAGTAACGCATATGTAGACACCTTACTACACAGTAACACTGTGTGTGGACTGACTTGGGACTAAAGTTGGGACTAACTTTAGGCCCAAGTCAGTCCACACGCAGCATTAATACACTTCATTGCCTGCACATATAGGGTGTGTGTAGACGACATGGGAGTTACTGTAGACCACCTGAAAATTTGAATGCCGCTTTTTTTTGGTGCGGTGCATTTTTGTTTGCACGACACGGCGCTTTTGAGTGGGTTAAGCCCCCGTGTGTCATTCCCCTCAAATGTCAGTAGGGGGAGTCAAATACTAATTTACCCCCTAGAATATCTTTCCTAATGTATTACAGCAAGAGGCTCATGTGAACCACCCAGGCTCCCTTAGACACCCGCCTATTCCCACTGACTGCACAGTAAATTTAAGTCAACATAAATACACGTGTAGACATATAAAAAAATAGGCCCTGTGGAGCAATGCATTTTGTAATCCTGAGCAACAGATGCACCTGCCCAGCCTGAAGGTGGTAAGAAGTAGAGAGGAGACCCCAATTCTGTGCATGTGAGCTGCTCCACACGCACTGTCTTTCCTAAAGTCAACTCTACCTTGCACTAGTAGGAACAGGATTATCCAGAGCAGCTTCATGTTTGTAGGTGCAGTCCTGAAGTGGATAAGGCCTTCTTCAAAGGAAGTGATATCGAAACCTGGAAAAGAGAATGAGCCAACCGGTTATGAATTCTCTCCTGATAGAACCAGTGCTGTGGTAGTTTGCCAGCATGATGGGGCTTGTGTCCTCCTAGGCCAGGGGTGGGCAATTATTTTGGGCGGAGGGCCACTCATGAGTTTTGGCAAGCCATCAAGGGCCACATGACAGGCAGCCGGGGCAGATTAATATTAATTTTCTAAATTTTTATGAGCCCTGCAGGCTGGATAGAATGGCCTGGCAGGCCGCATCCGGCCCGCGGGCCGCATTTTGCCCACCCTTGTCCTAGGCCGAGCTACCTGGCCGGGATGCAAGGATGAGTCATCCAGGGAGAGGTCATCCCTTGAGTTTGGGCTTGGCCTGCTGCTGGAGCTCCTTCCTCAGCAAAGCTCTTTGCCTCGGGTACTTTCCTCAAGTGGAAAAAGTTCCTTTTCTGGCTCCCCTGACTCACTCCAGCAACATATGTCACAGATGAGGGGAGAAGGGGAGAGCATGTGCTGACAGTCAAGCAAAGCAGAGCAAATGAGTGGGCCTTGAAAGTGGGAAGCTTAGCTACCCAGGGGGGAAGAGATCTCCCCCGGTGCTGGACTGGGTGCTGGACTAAGTGGAAAGGTGTTTCCCATTCCTTGCACTGCTGATTGAAACAGCCACCTTTCTCCCTACCCCTTCTCTCCCGTCTGGCAGCAGCCGCCACCCAGCCCGTACAACCATGCTGACTCTCCCTGTCTGACACCTGCTTCTGTCCTGGAAGGAGAAGTACGT